TTCTTCTGCTAGGACTTTAGTGAAGGGGTATGAGTTAACTTAGTTAGGATCTGGGCTGGCTTTGAAGTTTGATGTTTCTCCGGCTAACTTTAGTGCATTATGGGCTTTAAGTTCCTCTAGCAAAACCTTGTGTTTAGGGCGCTCAACTGGTTTGTCAGAGGAGTTTTTTTTTTTTTCTCAGTGTCGACTCCATCCTAAGCTTTAGGTCCCCTGTTTGTGCTGTGCCTCAGGGAGGGTCTCTTTCCAGGCTCTTGTCCCTCTTTTATTTCTTTCACAGTAGTATTCTGCTTTCCGTTGTGCTTGGTTCTTTAGCTAACCGGTCGCCGTGGGTGGTGAGCTAGAGAGTTCTCCGTGGTTCCGAGTAAGCCGCAGTCTTAGGTATCCGTGTGTCCCTGAGTCTCATGAGTGTGGCCTTGGGGCGCCTGGGTGGCTCAGTCGTTAGGCGTCTGCCTTCGGCTCAGGTCATGATCCCAGGGTCCTGGGATCGAGCCCCACATCGGGCTCCCTGCTCGGTGGGAAGTCTGCTTCTCTCCCGCTCCCCCTGCTTGTGTTCCCTCTCTCTGTCAAATAAATGAATAAAATCTTAAAACAAAACAAAACAAAACAGAGTGTGGCCTCTTCAGTCCTCCTGCCCCTCTTCCTGCAGTAATTCTGGGCCCATCACATATCCCTCTACAATTTTTTTCTCTTCCCTCATTCAGTGGCAGTGGGTCTCCACCAATACTTGAGAAGGGCAGCGTTAGTTGCCCTTCTCTCCACAGATTAAGGCTTTTGTTCCATATGGGAAATGAGATGAGTCGGGTCTGGGTCCCGCAGGCAGATATTTGTGCCCCTCCCCCAAGTCTACCACAGCAGTCGCTTTTCTTACATCTTTCCCCACTCTTTTTCTGAGAGTCCCCGGTCGGGCTGTGGAGAGAAGTTATGAAGAGGATATGGGCTCGCACACTCAGTTTCTCCAGCGTCTAATGGCTTCCTACTCTCTCGCCAGTACACACTTAGCCTTCGTAAATTCGCCAGTGACCCTAGCCAAACCCTTCCGACCAGCTGCACTGACCCCCAGGAAGCTAGTGCTCACATCTTGTCTTTCTCTTCAGGAGTTTCTCCCCTTGGATTTGGTTAGGTGGCTGGCTGCCCTGTGACCTTAGAGAAGGAGTTTAAGGAAAACTCAAGAATCTGCCATTTGTGTAGCTTATTCCCACTGTAAGTTTGGGAATGATGCACTTTCTAGCTCTTACATCCTCCAGCAAAACCCCAAAGCCAAGTGTCTTTATTTGAGCCATCGGAGTTGAATTCTGTGTCCTGCTAGGTGCACTGATAATGCTGAAGCTGGGATTTGATACTCTTCTCGCTACAGCGTGTTTTTCCTCCCTTCTTTATTTCCCTTCCCTGTATTTACATTTCACTCATAAGATATTTACTGAGCACCTACAAGGTGGCAAGCCCTGAGCTTGAGACGGAAGTCAGTCAGTTAGGGTCTCACAGTATTTAGTGTGAGCAGAACTCTCACAGAACCCACAGGGCACCATGGGATGCCAGAGCCACCTACCCCTGTGAAACTCAGGGAAGCTGGCTGCTCATGCCCACCCAGCAAGCAAATTTTGGAACCTGCCTCATGCTCACCAGGCCATTTTCTTAGCCACTGAATGCCATCTGGCCAGGAGCCCACGTCTGAAATTAATGATGCCACACACTGGAAATGAGGATTGCATTACAGAGTTCTTTGAGGTTTTCTGCCAGCAGACCTGTGGACTGAGGGGAGGAAGGTAAGCTTCATGTTCCAGAACTGTGAACTCTCTAAGTCAAGTTGCTCTGCAGTGTGTGATGTTTATGTTAGATGTATTATTTAATCTGTTGAAAGGATCAATAAAGCCAACTTAAAACTTGTTTCAGTAACAGCCCACGTTACCCACAAGCCTGGGCTGATTTTTTTTTTTTTTTTTAATATTAGAGCATTTGGATTGGAATCCACTAAACTGCCTCATGGAGCTAACAGAAGAAAATTCACTAGAGCAATAGCGCTTTGGCAGAATCTGTCAAAATCTGTGCTAAGAAACATCACAGTAATGGGGTGCCTGGGTGGCTCAGTTGGTTAAGCGTCCGACTCTGGATCTCAGCTCAGGTCTTGATCTCAGGGTAATGAGTTCAGGCCCCATGTTGGGCTCTGTGCTGGGTGTGGAGCCTGCCTTAAAAAAAAAAAAGAAAAGAAAAAGAAAAAGCAAAAAGAAACACCACAATAATGATAATACTGCATCCTTACTTCTTGGGAGCTTCACAGTTTGCAAGTTTTTTTACCTTCTGTATTTATTTAGTTTGTTGATCCTCATAATGGCCATGAAATAGGGTAGGGGAAGCTTGATTTCTGTCTGATTGAAACCTAGGTCTGGAAACCAGGCAGCCAGCCCTTGAATCACATGGCTAACATTCAGTGAAAATAGCTATCTTGTACCCTGGCTTTGTTCACAGTCTGAGCTGAACCATTTTTCCTTGACCCACTGGGCATGCCTTTTTCCAGCCCAGTCTGGATATTCTCAGGGACCTGACCCCTTTCCTAGTTCTTACCTTGATCCCTCAGACTTGACATTTGATTCTGTTCCTCTGGCATAAGTTCTAATTCCTACCTACTCTAATTATAACTCTGTTTGCTCCTTTGACTAGTTTACTTGCTGTTGCTCCTGGGTACTACCTCTCATGCCCAAACAATATTTCTGCAATTAGTGGTACGTCCACTCATATTGCTTGCAATGACGAGGAGGAGGATGATGATGATGATGGCAGCAGTTACCACTTGTGAACTGCTGTAAGACATTGCGTTTTCCACGGTTTATCTCATTGACATTTTTAACCTCAGACTATCCCTATGAAATAGATACTATTTTTCTCCCTACCATACAGAGAAGTCACAGAGAACTTAGGAGAACCTCCTCAGTGTCCATGAAAGAACACAGATTTGTGTTCTGGCCCTGCGATGTATCACTGTGTAATTTTAGACTGGTTCCTAATCTCTCTGTGCCTCAGTTTGTTCATCTGTAAAAAACTGTGGATGGTAATTTCTCTGGTCTGAGGTTGCCGTGAAGATGAAATTGGAAAGATCTTGGCACACAGTAGGATGTCAATATAAGTAAGTTTCTCTTTTAATTTTAGGGCTTTTATCTTCCATTCCCAGGGGATTCTTTGGAATTCCAAATGCCATTTTCTAAAAAGTGATTATACATTACCTTTCTCTTCTACATAAAACAACTATGACTATATATTTCATTGAGGAAGACAGGGAGCAGGGAATGGGATCCTTTCTGGTGGAGGTATAGGAAATGGTTTTAGATTTCAGGGTTGGTTGGGAACAACGGTTGCAGAGATATGTAAACATTCAGTTTGGGATTCGAAGGAGTGACCTTGGGAACTAATTGAGTGTGCCGACTTGCTCTGACAAAGAAACCCCTGTATTGGCTAAATAACGTATAAGAGATTTCCATTGGGCAATGGAGGAAAATTGAATTACTTAGTGTATTTCCATTTCAATGAGTTAATCAAGATAATTGCTGCTTTCCTGGATCTTTGTCTTTCTTTGTAATTAACAAGGCCCTTGTTTGGTGACAGGAATTTAGCCAGTGAACTTTGTATAAGTTGATGTGACTTTTTTTTTTTTTTTGGTGCAAATTGTATTTAAAAATCTATTACAGATCTTTTGCCTTTGGATTCTAGGACTATGAGAAACTGACGCTTGATCAAGCTTGAGAAAAATTTACAGTTCAAGGATTTAAGTTCATTTGGGATTAACAAACTCAGCAGGAGGCAGTAGGGCAGAGCTGACAGAGCCGGAGCTCTGGTATCAGACAGACGTAGGTTGTGATCCCGGTTCTGCCGCGTTCTCACTATGTAACAGGGAGCATCTCTGATCCTCAGTTTCTATTTCTGTAGAATGGATACTATCACTCATCTTCCAGAGCTGTTATGAGGATTAAATGCAATAATGTGATTCCTAGCCCATCTCTGGTGCTCAAAAGGCTACTCCTTCCCCACCTCCTGCATACCTACCTACTGGTCACATATTCAGTAGTCTCAGTTGTTTGGAACATGGCTAAGACCTTGAAAAAAAATCTTAAAAAAATCTAAGTAGCAAAAAGAGAAGGTACAAAGTCCATTCATTACAATAGCTCCTAGAGAAAGAGCTCAGATAACACATGCCTTTGATTCTGGCTAGGACTGGAATGAGCTGAACTTCTGCTTTTCTGACCACACCCCTCAAGAAGCCCTACCTTGGATGAGGGGAAGGGAAGTGAGCTCCTCATGGTGGGTGCCACGACTGAAACACATAGCACTATGCGGAGGGAGGAAGCAGTAAAAATGATACCCTGCCACACGGGAGCTGATCAAAGGACAGTTTACAACCCTTTCTGGGCAGGTTCTGTAGCCTTGTGTCCTCCCTTCCGGTGTAATATGCAATTGCGGTTGTTCTTTATTAATGATCTTGACTCATAAAGAGAAAGGTTTCATTATGTCTCTATAATGGGTTTGAGAAGGTAGGCACGGAAAGCATTTAAGTTCCACCCAAAACCGTTAAAATGAAAAAAAAAAAGTTTTGAAACTTGAAGATGTAAGCTTAGATTAGGTGGGCAATTCATCTACATGGAACTTGCCATTGTTTCTGGAAGTGGTCATCCGAAGATGCTAGCATTCTTTCAAGTACGTTTCATCTCCATTCCCTCCCTGTGGGATGTTGGGCAGGTATTTCCATTGTACAGATGCGGCAACGGAGGCCTAGAGACATGCAAGCCCAAGTCTCCTAATGCCAAAGCTCATGCCCTTTCCATTACATTATGTTCCTTCCTAGGAGCAATTGCTGTGATATGAACATGCAGAACACATTGTGGGTAATGGTTTGCATCCCAATTTCTCAGCCAAAATGAAATCTATCCAAAAATCAACACTCCACCAACTCACCTCTAATCGTACAATACATCTCATGAAACAAAACCGTCAGATGCCCTTGTGGTGATACTTACTCGTAAAATGTTGTCCATCCATTTTCATTGCTTTTGGTTGCCAGAAGGCCAGAGTTGCCATGGTATGTCATCATGGCCAACTCATGTCCTTGTGTGGTCACGCTCTTGAGTGCGCTGTTGGTGCCCATGGTCACCCAGTACACTTGGCCATCTGGGACCACCAGCCAGAGGGGCATCCCGGTAGAGTCCCGGCGGACGTTCACCATGTTGCCGTTGTTGTCAGTGATGAGTGTGACATCGCCATCCCCCGTGTAGGTGAAGTTGTACAGGTAGTCGCCCGTGGGCAGACTTTGGGTGTACAGATGCTTTCCACTGGTATCAAACAGGTAGAGCTCCTGGTCAATGGGCGAGGACAGCTCATACATGTTCTGGGTGTTGAGAAAGGGCTTGTTCTTCCTGATAAACCGAATTCGGATATTCCCCAGGTCAGCCACATAGAGTTCCCCGTCGGCACACACAGCCAAGGAAGATGGCGTATTCAGCTTTGCGTCCTTGGCATAGCCGGCGTCTCCCGAGAAACAGTCACAGTTGGCATCGTTTTTACAGTCACAGCCACTGGGGGCCCCCGCAACCAGGGAGATCTCTCCGCTGGTGGTGACCTGCCTGATGCGGTTGGTCTTCTTCTCGTCGGTCTCGGCAATGTACAGGACCCCATTGTGTGAGACAGCCAAGGCAGCGGCTGACTCCAGGGTTGCGTGGATGGCCACCTTGCTCAGCAGGAAGTGGTCAATGCCGGGGACCTGGCAGTGCATGGGTCTCCCAGCGACGATGCGCACCTGGTGGTTTTCAGAGATCTGCAGGACCACATTGTTGTCAAGGACGTAGAGGGAGTTGTCCATCGGGTTGATGGCTAAGTCGGTGGGCCACTCTAGGCGAACCTGCCAATGGAGACAACCGATAACTCAGATGCCTGGCAGGGTGCCCACCACGAATCCTCCCCCAGGCTGTATAGCTCGTAAGAATGTCTCGAGTGCCTTCACACGCTGTCCTGCCTGATCTCATGGTGGCCTGTCATTGGCAACGGGTGTCAGCCCGCTGATCAGAGTGAAACATGCAATAGCTGTCACTGAGACACCTCATGATCTCCATTAGACTCACAAAACACGAAGAAGGGAATAAAAAGGAAAAAAAATAAGCAAAGAAACAAAAAAAGTAAACAGGAGATAGACTTGGGTGCCAGACGGGCCTAGGTTCAGATCCTAGCCCCACCAATTATGACCTTTGGCAAGTTACTTTGCCTCTCTGAGCCTCGGTACTCACATCTGTACAACAGGACTGACAATAGTGCAAAGTGCCTGACCCACAATGAGAGCTCAACTAATGACAGCTAATGTGATGGAGGTGGCAGGGGGAGTCTGGAGGCTGAGGCAGGAATTGTTCAGATGTCTGCTGATGATATGATACCTGCATGAAAGACGGCATCTCAACCCACTGGGTTCATGGATGAACACATGCCCAGCGGCTGGGGATGTAAAGACAAAATAGCTGTGGTCCCTGACGGTTCCAGACCAGTGGTTCTCAAATCTGGCCACACATTCCAATTACCTGTGGTGGTTTTAGAAAGCTTGGTGCACAAATCCCACCTCTGGTCAATGAAATCAGACCCCTGAGTGTGGGGCTCAGGCAGTGGCATGATTTCGAAAGCTTTCTGGGTGATTTGAACGTGGGAACTGGGAATCACAATGGAATCCTTCCTCCATCAGGTGTGACTATTGGACCAGTGGCCCTGACATCGCACGGGAGGTGGTCAGAAATGCAGGACAGCGGGTCTCACCGAACCTACTGAATCTGAATCTGAATTTAAACAAAACCCCTGGATGGCTCCTGTGCACACGGAGGTTTGTGAGTTCCTGCTCTAGATAATGGCTCCTAGCACCTCATAGAACATGTCCTCCTGGAAGAGATCAAAGAAGGTGGCCCCAGGAATGAGGGGTTCCGAGGTCCTGGGGCCCATGCCTGAGCCTCCTCTGTGCCAGGCTGGGAAGCTGGCAGGGACGACGGTGAGCTTTCAAGTAGGCACATGATGGGGGTGGGGGAGGAAGCTGGCGGGGTCTGAGGTGAGGAATGCTTTGTTGGTGGACACTGGGAGGTACTGGCACTGAGGGAAGCGACTTGCCAGCTGTGTCCCTAAGGGGTCATCCAGCCACACTGTACACGGGCTGAAGTGTTGCCTCCTTCTGATTTGTGTCCCCCGCCCCTAGGGATTCATTGCCTTAGGTTCCTGAGCCCCCTACAAACCCTCGACATTCTGTCCCATTTCGGACTTACTTAAACATGCATATTACTTTAGATAAGACATTTCTCTCCCAGGAATTCACTCTTGTACACCCTTGTCGACAACGGTGTACATCACAGCCATTTTTAATAGTGGCGAACAACTGCAACCAATACAAATGCCCAACCACAGAGAATTGGCTAAATAAATGATAGCATTTAGTTCGCCCATAAGGTAGAATACTCTGTGTAGCCATTATAGGTGGTGTTATAGATGGATATTTAATGACATGGGAAAATGCTTGCTACGTATTAGTGGAAAAGAACAGATTACAGAATTGGAAGCACAGCGTGATCCCAACTGGGGGGAAATATGGCAACCACAAATTAGATAAATTACAGATAGAGGGGAGATTAAAAGCTTGGGGTGATACATCAAAATGTTAACCATACTGGGGTTTGGGGTAATTTTAACTTTCTTCTTTGTAATCTTTAACTTCTTGCATTTTCTACAATGTCCATGTGGTAGTTTACTAATATAAAAAGAAACCCCAGCAAATTACATACATCTGGGATGTGGCCATCTCCATCTGACCCTTCAGCTCAGGGCCCTCCTCTGGTCCTGCTTCCTGGTCTTCCTGTCTCCTCCCTCCCAGCCTGGGCCCCTTGGTCCCCTCGGAGCCTGGCCTGCCAGAGCCCAGAGCCCCCGGCCAGAGGTGCTCCTTCATACTTCCCAGTGCTCTCTGAGCCCTTGGCTGCATCAAGAACAGTTTACTCAAGTGACAGGGGAATTTTCAATTTCCTAAAACCCATTTCTTGTCAACACTGGCTGCTAAATATTTTATGCCTTCTGGTCCTGTGGCACCTTGGGGACCTGCTAGCCCAGACCTTTCTGCCAGTCATTATGATGAAAAGATGCCTCCCTGATGGGTGGGTGGGGAGGGCCGGGGGAGGGGGAGAGGGGAAGAGCAAGCGCCTTCCTGCTCTCCCCCTCCTTCCTGCCGTGTGCACACAGGCACCTGGGAAAGAAGACAGCGCTCTTGGAGTCCGTCTTGGCTCTGTCATGGAGCCTGTGTGATGGTTCTGGAGCAGACCAAGCACACAAGCTTCTCTGATTTCACTTCCGCAGAGCCACAGGGCGCCGTCACCACAATGGAAGAGCGGCTCTTTAGAATTCCTGTGGTTCCTCCGGCCTGCTTCCGTGTTCTGTGGTCCCCAGGGGGGATGGAACTCCCTCTCCCCTGTCCTCCTGAATATTCTGCGCCTTTATCAAAGTGCTCTGAGATGACTGCCTTGTGGCAGAGTTATTTGTTCTAAAAAAAATGGGTTGCCAAATGGATGAACGAATGAATGAATGGTGAATGGCATAGAGAGCGCGAGGGATTTGGGGCCAGGACAGCTCACTTCTTGTCTCAGTCCCACAATTACTACAGGTATGTGCTACTTAAAGACTTTGAACTTCTTTCCTCATCTGTAAATGGAGGTAATAAATATTACATAGAGTAGTTGTGAGGATCAAACAAGACAATGTACAAGGCGTTTCTTTGCAAATTATAAAGGGAATGAATATTTACAGCTTATTACTAGCTGCCAGGCACTGTGCTAGGCAATTTATGTACATGATTTCACTTCAAAATTCATTTCCACATCCCTGATGGAACCTAGCATGGTGCTCTGTATGTATAACTGCAGTTTTCCCCCCAACAAGCCTCAGTTTCCTTATCTGTAGAATGGGGTAGATAGTATCACCCCTTGGGGTTATTGTGACAGCTAAATAAGAAAAGCAAAGTCATACTCATCTCTGTATTCCCATTTCTAACAGTGCCTGGCACATGCTAAGTTCTCAAGAAATCTTTTTGGACCCTCCATACAGAGTTATACTCTGTAGCCTGCTGAGCTAGGAATGAATCCCCTCTTTCGACTGGGTTGCAACATCTTCTGTTCCTTCTCTACTCTATGCCTCCCTCGAGTTTCTCCTCGGGCCTGGTCTTCATCTGTTCCCAGGGGAGCTGGTCCGAGTTCCTTGGTTCCCTGCTTTGTACTCTTGCCTCTGAGGTGTGTTCTTAGCTCTCTGGCTTACCACCCTGCTCCCCTGGGCGGGGGGGGGGGGCAGTGAAATAGCCCTGAGTGTTTGGACAGAGGAAGCTCTCAGAATGAAAGCCAGTACCCTGCCCACACGTGTGCATAAAAATATCAGCCCGTGTCCAGAGAGCTTGGTAAAAAGAATTCCATGCTTCGATTCAGATGACGGTAGTGAGGACCAGGGGCCAAGGGACTGCGGTCCAGGATTTCTGAAGCTAAGTGTGGGTTTTTTCCCCCACTCCACTATCTGCCAGTTGTCCTCCAAGCCTTGGATCTGGCTGCTTGGCAGCACCTCTAACTAAAGTTACACAGCTTTCCAATGTGTGGATTGAAAATTTTCAGTGCCCGTGCTGGCTGGTGCAGGGCCTATTTTGAGAATTGAAAGTACTCGCGTGCACATCCTCAGGCCATGGCAGCTTCCTGACGGGTAATTCCAGCTTGCTCACAGGCCGGAGAGGGAAATTCTCTAGCCAGCAAGGGGAAGCCTGCCAAACTGGGAAGACGAGTGGCAGAGAACAGATTTCATTTGGGAGCGTAACAATCACATTAGTTGGTGCAGAGGAAAACCACGCCAGCAACTGAAGGGTGTGAGGCGGGTGCTGGGATGGCCAGCGACAGCCAGGGGGCTCTGGGGACAGCACTCCACGACACATGCCAACTAACAGGCAGGCATGACCAGTGAGGTCTCCCAACGTCCACTGCCTGCAGAGAACAGGGAGCAGATCAGCAGTCAGTGGAAAAGGGCCTCTGTGCAGGGGGTTTAAAAAGCTAAGTGAGGTTATTGCTGACACCACTCTGCAATTTAGTGTAACTCCTGCCTTCCTTTTTCCCTTGGTTTTGCTAATGTTGGCAAGAAGGATGTTCACTGATTCAGCTCCGGCCAGGCCCTGCCAAAGGCTCGAGCAATAAAGGACACTTTCCTTGCCAAGACATTGCAGGACAAACTAAGGACATGCTGAATGGCCAGTCACTGGGTCTACACTGGGTTCCTGCTGTCCCCTGCTAAGGTCCAGACTCTCTGGCATGGTACGGGAAAGTCCTTCCCTAACTGGCCCCAAATCATGCTTCCAGTTTCAACTCCTGCTTCTTTATTCCAAGAACCCTAGGCTCATGCATTCAATCTTCCAATGATCCTTGACTGTTCTAGGCCCATTAATATCTTTGTACCTTTGCACATGCTGCTCCCTTTGTGTGAGATGCCTCCGTTCTTCCTTGCCAACCAGCAACCCCTATTTCACCTTCACAACCTGGCACAGATTGCACTTCCGTTGTGAAAGTGGGCACTAGAACTTCTGTTTGTTGACCGCCTTTGAAGAGCCAAGCAATGCTAGCCGCCCAGTATTCACTGTTCATGTTTTCTCCAAGCAATCCTGCCAGGCTGAAGTCAATGATTTTCATTTTAAAGATATAAAAAGAGAGGCTCAAAGGACTTCAGGAACTTGTCTAAAATTACTTCAGCTCGTGAGTGGCAAAGCTAGGATTCAATCTGTCAATCACCAAATACTGGTTATATTCCTACCATATCCCGTATCCCGTATCCCGTATACCTCTGGTTACAGTGGAGGAAAAGATGGACAGAATTCCTGTCCTCATGGAGTTTATAGTATAGGAAGAGAAAAGACAATGTCCAGACAATGTAAGTATTTCCAAAGAGGGAACTCACAGGCAGCTATGGATCTAAATTCACACCACGTGAATCTCTGCTGCCTTTGAAACTTCCTTGGGCAGATTTCTTCACTCTCCCCTGAGATCCCTCTGTCACCCACCTGTCACCCCTGATGGTGACCTCCCAGAGCACCAAGCTATGCCCTACTCATCTCTGTGTCCTTAGCGTTTTTCCCAGGCCCAGCCAAGAGTGTACTCTTCAAGGGTTAGTGCGGTATAAAGATGGGGGGCCGGCAGGAGGGCTGGGGACCAGGTGAGAGGGTGAGCGTGCAGCCCCAGGGCTCCAGCAAGCAAAGCTTTCTCCTTGCCTGAGAAATATCCATGACGGAGTCACAGCTGAGCGGCCGGGCCGAGGTAAGATCATTGGAGCCCAGCAGGGTGGAGATGACCCCGTTCTGATCAATGCGTCTGATCATGGTGCCATCCACGAAGTAAATCAGCCCAGACTTGTCCACCGTGATGCCTGAGAAAGAGAAGCCGAAACAGGGAATGCAGCATTAGAGGTGGTAACAACTGACACGCTCATGGAGAACCTCCCCTCTGTGATTTGATGACATCCTCCCCACAGGATTCATTCCCCTTCTAAAGTCCTAAAGACAGATGCCCAGGGGCTTAGGGTGACTTGTTCAGACCAGGGATTAGAACTCAAGTCTTCTGATTCTCCAGGGCTCTGATCCTTCCACCTTACTGCCTCTGGAGATTTTTGCCTGTCAGCTTAGCTAGCCTCCAAACCCAGACTCCTACTTCTGGGGGTTTGTCAAGGATTAGAGGTATAGTAAGGAGAAACTTTTTCAATGTCAAAACTGTGAATTATTTAAGTTAATCTACTTATGAAGCCTTGTAATTATAATAATCAAATTCCCTTTTTGGCAACAATTTTTCTTTTCTCCCAAGATAATCATCCTTCTTGTTTTTCTATTCTGATTTTATTTTTATTGGTTATTATAGATGTACAGAGCCTAAACATGAAAGCTTTGGATGTGTGTAGAGAATATGGGTGAAATAAATGTCTAGAAAAAGGCACATGGACGAGAGCAGTCTGAATTCACCATTCACTTTCTCCATGACCAGCTGTGTGACCTTGGGCAAGTCACTGGATGTCTCTCAGCTCTTAAATGAAGGGATTGTTTTCAATTTGTACTTCTCACTCCTGGATGTGTGTGCGTTTTCTATTACGTACTCCACAGGGAGCTGGTTCAGAAAACCTCAAGCAGAGCCTGAATATCTATCTGTATTTTTGACAAGCACCTCAGGTGGTAATGATCTAAAACAAAGTTCGAGAATCACTCTAATACAATAGATCAGTGCTTCTTAACCAGTGATGTGTATCAGAATCACCAAAAGAGTTCTTATTTTTCCCAACATATACCTGCTTGGCCTCACTCCTGGAAATACCAATTCTGGGGGTGGCTGGGACTGGGACTAAGATATGTTTTATCATGGGTGATACTGATTTCCACCCCAAATTACCACCCCAAGGGTTAGACATAGCCCGACCAAACCGAGAACTGCTCAGGGGTGCTGGGGCTGAGAGAAAGACAAGACGGACCCCCAGGAAGCACACTGGCTAGGTGGGGGAGGGCGGGAATGAGTCGGGGCCCTGCGGAGTGCCCCAGGGAGTGACATGACGAAGAAAAGGAGAGTCCAGTCAGTTGTGTTCTGTTCAGGCTTCTCTGGGCACTGAAATGAAAGAAGGGTAGAGGCACTTGCAACAGAAAGCTTTCCAGTTGTAGACCCTTGGCCGTGTCACTTCACTGAATCCAGCTTTCTTGTCATCAAAACAGGGAGGATAATAGCTGACACTTGTGGGGCGCCTGGGTGGCTCAGTCGTTAAGCGTCTGCCTTCGGCTCAGGTCATGATCCCGGGGTCCTGGGATCGAGCCCCGCATCGGGCTCCCCGCTCGGCGGGGGGCCTGCTTCTCCCTCTCCCACACCTCCGCTTGTGTTCCTGCTCTCACTAACTCTCTCTGTCAAATAAATAAACAAAATCTTAAAAAAAAAATAGCTGACACTTGTAATAGCCCTCAATAATTACTAGTGACTGAGAATTCTGAGAATGTGACCAGCGCTTTGTGGAGGCCCTTGCTCTCGGGGTCCATGAGTCTGGGACTGGGGTGGTTTCAGGCACCCCAGGCCCTCTGAGTGCTGAAGACTCCCCGGAGCAGTAGTTCTGTCCACCCCCTCGTTAGGCTGCTCAGGGCCGGAGGGCGATTTCACACAGAGGACAAGGCAGCCTTCGGGCAGGGATGCCTTTCTTCTGCCCCTGCCTAGAGTCTAAATTAATTGCGTTCTGTAAGTACTGGGACAGGAGTTTTCTTGTCTGCCTGGCTACGCTCCGTCTTCCTCTTCCAACTGCTGGGACTGATGAGTGCTCCGTGAACAATCGGGTTTCTTGTTTACAAAGTTGGCTGCACAGGCTAATAGAAGTGATCTGCCCCCTGATTAATTACTTCAGATTTTTCCCCTTTTGTTGTGCTAAATAGATGGACATCTTTTCTCCTCCCTTCTGTGAAGTGTCTGCATGCCGTGGCACCCTTGTCATTTCTCTCTGGGTTAATTACAGACTTTTGGGCAATTTCACTGCCGCTGCATCTGGGTGCCTGCGTGTGTGCATCTGTGTGTGGGGGGGCACCTGAGAAAGCCCTGGAGAGAATAACATTTTCAGAAAAAACATTTACTTCTAAGAGAATAGAATGCTGTAACTGAATGGGGTCTTGGGGGACCCATGGAGCCCCATCTGCTCATTTACCAATGGGAACACTGAGGCCCAGAGGAGGAAGTCAGAGGCCAGGGAGCTGCAGAACCGAATCATAATGCAGGATCCCTAAGTGGAAGCCTGGTGTTCTTTCCACTGCAGGCTACTACTCGCTCAGGGCTAGGAAATCATAATTGGGACCGCAGAAGTCACAATACTTACCCCACAGTTACCACCCTGACCAGTCCAGGTATGTGAGAGAGATGAGATGAGATATGATGCTATATGGTGTGGTAACATAATGTAATGTAATATAACAATTATAATAGAAGTCACTATTTATGAGATGTTTATCAGGTGCCTGGAACCACGGAACTAAGCATTTTCACTCCTGATCAGATTTAATCTGTACTCTGACTGTCCAGTACGTTTCTGTTTCATAGGCGAGGCAAGTGTGGCTTAGACAGGTTAAGCAATTCAGCCCAACTCACACAGCTATGAGGTGACAATGACTGAATTTGAATACAGAACAGCCTGATTTCACCAGACTAATGCTTTGACTGGAAAGTGCACATACCAACTGCATTTTACCAACCACTGACACAGACATTAATTCTATTCATGAGGGGCAGAGCTAGGTCCAGGAGATGCCCTGAAATCTGGCACCATTTACTAATATAATCACATATGACATTTTTGTGGGCTATCTTATGAAGTATAGAATTCTGAGTCCTGTGCACACGTCTCCTTGCTCCTCAGGGAGAAGCTCCTCTTCCTCTCTCCCACAACAGTAGTTCACGTTCAAGTCTTATTTCTTCTGCTACGTTGAACTTACCTATGCAACCATACTGCACTGCACACTCAGTGAATACATGCTGAATAAGTGAATGGAAAATTGTAATTGTGGGTATGAAGAGGTCTCACTTTTTGAAGGACTCAAAACTGAAGCCAACAGTTAACCCGTCCTATGGCGTGTGAGCATCTACAAAGATGACATGCTGCAATGTTCCGATAAAACAATAACATGAGAGAGAGCATACATGTCCAACAGCAGGGGACTGATGAGTGAAGGATGGACATCCATTTGATGGAATGCTATATAGCCATAAAAAATGAGGGCAGAGAAGACTAATAACATGGGGAAATGTTCATGATATATCAGTTAGGGAAAAAATAAAGGAGGTTACCAAAACAGTTTGTTTAACGTGACCACAACACACAGAAAAAGGACTAGAAGGAAAGACAAGAAATGTTACCTGGGACTATTTCTGGCAGGTGGAATGGTGACAATTTTAACTTTTCCCTGGAGACTTCTTGGTATTTTCCAAAATGCTTTCACAAAGATAAGCGTGTATTTCTTTTGAAAATGGAGTGGGTATGAAGGCCGAATTTTGCTATCACATGGGGCTTATTTATAATTTTTTCCAATTCTAAGCCTGAGTGTGGAGTTGGACTCCTCACTCCTGGGAAGTTAATTATCAGGACCCCCATCAATGTTACTGTAAGCAAGGTAAGCAAGGCCTTACCTCTGGGGTTGGTAAGTGTGGCCTCGGTGGCCTTGCCACCATCCCCGCATCGAGTGTCATCGAAGGGGAGGCACTGGTCACCTGTCCCCGCGACCACCTCGGAGTTCTTGACAAGGTCCTTCACCACCACGGTGGACTTGATCTTAAAGACCCGCCGGCTGTTGGTGTCCGAGAGGAAGACAGCCCCGCTCATGGGGTCCGTGGTCAGGTAGTATTTATGTGCTGGGCTATGGCTGTGAAATAAGGACACACCCTTTGGTGAGCACTTTCTTCCTTCCCATCAGGGGACCACAGAGTCCAAGCAAAAAGTCACCTGGGGATGATGTCCCTCTTTTGGGTGACGGTTCTGCAATTTTTCTGACCCCAGTGGTTGGCTTCCCTCACTATCCCTCTTACCTAACTGTTAATACAAGAAGCTCTTGCCAATGACTCTGATGCCCGGCCCAGCACCGTGTCCATATGAGGAGCTCAACACGTGTTTTCTTAAAATGATTATCAGGGAAGCTTACCATGGGTGGCCTGTAAATCCAAGCCAGAAACACGAGAGGGCTTGCCTCTAAAAAAACACTTCAAGAGTTCAAAACACAAGCCCTTTTCCCTCGAGTTTGTATGGCAGCCCCTCCCCCAGCCACGTCAGGACTGACTGATAAGAGCCTGGCCAGATCTGACTCCCAGTCAGTGACAATACAGTCTTCTGTCGACTCAGACCTACATTATACTGATCAGGAGCCCAGGAGTCTCCCTTCTGCAGTCAGATATAAGGAATTGCAGGATGAGTTTGTAATTTGCAGCAACACCCAAGGAAAAAGAAATAAAACAAGGGGGCAGTTCTGTTTCTGGAAACCAGTCCTAAAGACAAGGCTCTGCCGACAGAGAGAGGCAGAGGCAGACCATGACCTTAGGGAGGGTGGCAGAGACAAGGCACTGGCCCTGGGCACACGGCAGGAAAAATGCACAAGTACTGGCATCAGATCAGTCTGGGTTCTAAGTCTGGCTCTGTCATTTCCAGGTTCTGAAACCTGGGCAAGTTAGCTGGCCTTCTGAGCCTCAAGCCTCTGCAAAATGGGGTATGAACAGTTACTTTGTCGGTGTACTGAGAAAATTATAAAAAATCATATCTGAAGATTATTTAGCATAGTGCTTGGCACACTGTAGATACTCAATAATCGTAACTGTTATTTTAATTCCTAGTCATTATGTCTTTTTTTACAGTTGGAGAGGACTCCCTAATTAAACCCAAATTGTCCTATCACATGGTACTGCTTTATAATTTCTTCCAAGTCTAGGCTAAATTGGAGCTGGACTCCTAACTCCTGGAAAGCTAACTTTCAGTCCCTGTGCATGGCCTGGCCATTCTCAGGCCCTCAAACTGCATCTTAATACTGGTAGCCACTTCCAAGCCTCTGGAAAGTCTTCTGATTCAAGGGACTCCCCCTCTGTTCAGGTTGGATGGCCCGGCACTGGCCACTTTCACTGGATGGTGGGATGCAAACCGTGCTGGGGATTCAGAGGGCAGCCTGAGCAGTGCCAGCAAAGGAGGGGCACTGTACAAACCTTCAAGATGCAGGTAAGAGAATCAGAAAAGTCTAGAAGGAAGCGATTTTACGTTTTATCAGGCATGTAGGTTTTGGGTCCTTTTGAAAAACAAAATTTTATTTTACAGATTGGTGTTTTTTGAATTACACATGAAGACGGGAGCATCATCACCTTTTCAGTGTCAAGGTCTCTGAAGGTCTTAATCTGGCCTGTCGTCATAACCATCCTTTGCTTTGGGCGTTGTCTTGGGGACTGGCTGATTCTTAACAGGGCCAGGTTCCCAGACCCAAGATAGCCTCTCTTTATTTTCTCTCCTTGAATTAGACGAAGGTGACATGATTTTCTCCAGCTGTCCTTCCTCTGTAGACCCAACACAACTGTCCCATCACCTCATCCTTCTCAAATAATAGGCAGGTCTCTCTGCCTGCAGCCTGGGTCCTCCCCAGGCCATTCTTCCTTGTTCTAACCCAGACATCATCACGTCACCCCAGTGCCAATGGCCTCCCTTCCAGGACTCCCCACGGCTTCTGGGCTGAGTTCAGACTCCCCGGCGGAGCAACACACAGGGCCCTTCACACGCTGCCACTGTCTCTTCTCCCCAGCCTCCTTCCAGCAGACGGCCTGCACTCCAGAACCTTGTCCCCTCCCCTCCCCCCACACCTCCACACCTCTCTGTACCTTCCATCCCCGCTCTGTGGAATATTCCGTCCCCCTGCTGAACTTCTACTCATTCTTCAGGTGTCAGCTCAATGATATCTTTTCTGGCAAAACCTTCCCTGACCCCTGTGTGTGGAGATTCCTATCTGTTCATAACTGGGTAACAGGATACTTCACATAATGCTGTGACTATTTATTTATGAGGCTGTCTCCCAAATCTGACACTCAACACTTGAAGGGAAGAGATGGGATTGTATTCATTTTGTATTTCTAATGTTCAACTTGGTGCCTTCTAGGGCATAGTAGCCATTTGCTTTAAATGGATGGCATCTCCATTTTGAGCTTATTTAAATATCATTTTCATTCAAATTATTGGTGTTTCTTTCACTTCTCTTTTGGGGGAAACTGAAAACAGAAGAGATGTCCCGTTTATCTTGAAATTCCCCCTGAGACTTATCCTTTAATCTTCCCAGATGACACGGACTCTGGCTAAAGAGAAAGCCTTAGATCCCACTCTGCCCCTGCAGGGCAACCTTGACCTCTCTGCTTTCCTGATGACAGCTGTGAGGTGGGGGAGATCATTTCATCTCTTTGTGCATCGCTCATGATAAACTGGTGCTATCCACCTTGGCAGAAAACGTGTCCCGGAGGGAGTATGGTGGGGGCCCTGTCCACTTAGATTTGCCCCCTGAGTTTCTGGCTCCTGTCTTCCTGCACTGACCCAGAGACGTGTCACTCAGGTACAGTTTCTCAGCTCAGTGAATTCCAGAAGGGGGTGGCACTGGCAGGACTGTCCCAGAGAGTCTGAAAGAGCTGTGGCCCATCTTTTGTGCCCAAGGACATATTTGCCATCTGGTGGTCAGGGAAGTGTAGGGAAAGAACGCTAGCTTTGAGCTTAGGAGACAGGGGTTCTAATTTGAGCAAGTCTCCTACATCGCTCAAACTGTAGGTCCCTCGGTTGTCAGCTGATGAAGTTCCTGCTCTGCTTGGCCCACAGGCTTATAATCAGGATCAGATGAAATTAGACATCTCAACAGCCCTTTCCGGTTGGTAGAGCTCTTCGACAGCCTTCAGGGCACTGTTGCCTCATGCCACCTGCCTAGGGAGGAGCCACCAGACCTCTGCCGGGGGCAGGACCACCGTTCGGCGGGGCAGAGCTTGCCGAGATGACTGTCGCTGGTATGAGAGCATCTGCTACCACCTCTGGGGGCTTGTTCTGTCCCAGACACCATCCTACAACTTTATACACAGAGCCTGACCCTCCTCACAACTACTGTGTAAGGCAGGTGATTGTTGTTTTTAAAATATATATATTTCAGAAAACGGAGACTACCAGAGATGAAGTGACTTGACCAGGGCCAGAAACTGCTGAGTGGCAGGATGGGTTTCCAACTCCAATCTTCTTGACCTAAAGGCTGTGTTCTTCCTATTTGCCCACACTGCCTCTCAGGGCCTTGAAAACGGCCCTGCCCTGACCCACCGGGGAGCACCAGACCCTGCCCTGACCCACCGGGGAGCACCAGACCCTGCCCTGACCCACCGGGGAGCACCAGACCCTG